CGTGTATTGTAATTTACAATGCACAAAAGGCTGGACATATACTGACCTATGATTTCCAGGTTAACCTATCGGGGTATGCTTAGTTAATTTTTTGCCTCAGCTTTAACAGTGATTTCTGAAAAGCTTCAAAGAAATACAAGAAATCATAATGCAACTATAGGTCTTATTTATTCTCAATGAAAGTGTATTTCATTGTAGGAAAAAAATTTGAGTTTCCAGTTTGTTCTTAATAATTTACAAATGGGACTTGGTGATATCTAAAATCACTTTCAGTTTTAAGTCTAGAATACAGGATACTTGCAATTGGGCTCTTTTACCAGTAGGTGTTGCTATTGACAACACAAAGTTAAAAGCAAGGACTTCGCATTACAGTACAGCTTGAAGGAACACTACAGCATTTAAGAATAAAAATGTGAAAGAACTTTTACAGACAAGCCCTATAAAAGGACCTATGTGCATATTTAAGTATCTCAGTGCCATGGGCACAATAGTAGTTAAGTACTGCCTATATCCTTCTAGAACAACCCTAAGCAACTTACTGGCCAGCAGTATAAGGGAGGAATCAAAGGGTCTTAGAATTGGGAGGGATCTTATTTGTCCCTCAGTTTTCAAATCCCCATTCCCTGGAGTTAGAAATATATTTACATTACCACCTAGTATGCACGTGTGCAAATACTCACATACCCATATAAACAGATGTGTAAATATATCTGAAACCAAAGGTTCAGAAAACAATAATATCTTTACCATGCGCTTTTCCCCCATGTATTTGTAAAATAATAGAAAATACACATACTGGTGTCTGCCCTCTGCCTCCAGTTCCTGGTACAGAGCTCCTAAAAACCTTATCATTTCCTAAATGATGAGAGCACAAGGAGCAGCTCTTCTAATATCTGGCCTTTGATTCTGGTTCCTGACACAGAGCTCCTAAATCCCTTGAAATTTCCTGGGTGATGGGAGTATCTTTTACTCTAAGCAGGTACTCTTGGTGGGCTCTTGAATAGCTTCAGGATGGGGGCTGGTCACCAGAAAGACCTAGCTCTGATTAGAAGCTTCGGACTTTCAGCCCTGTCCCTCATCCTCCAGGAAGAGTTAATGAGCATTCATGCCTATGTGATGACACTTCCATAGAATCCCCAAAGTCTGGGGTTCCTGGGTGCCTCAGTGGGTTAAAGCCTCTGCCTTCGGCTTCGGTCCTGATCCCAGGGTCCTAGGATCCAGCCCCTCATTGCATCGGGCTCTCTGCTCAGCAGGGAGCCCGCTTCCTCCTCTCTCTCTGCCTGCCTCTCTGCCTACTTGTGATCTCTCTCTCTGTCAAATAAATAAATAAAATCTTAAAAAAAAAAAATCCCCAAAGTCTGAGGTTCAGAGAGCTTCCAGGCTGGTGAACACATGTATATGCCAGGAGGGTAGTGGATCCCAACTCCATGGGGACAGAAGCTCCTGTACTTGGGACCCTCTGGATCTTGCCCTATGTAGCTTTTCATCCGGGTATCCATTCATCTGTGTTCTTTGCATATCCTTTGTTATATAAGAAACTGGTAAACATAAGTGTTTCCCTAAATGCTATGAGTCATTCTAGCAAATTACTGAACCCAAGGAGGGGTCATGGTAATGCTGGTTTATAACTGGTTGGTTAGAAATACAGCTCACAACCTGGGACTTGTGACTGGAGTCTTAAAGTGGGCCAGTCTTGTGGGACTTAAGTCTTAACTTACAGGATTTGATCCTACCTTCAGATTGATAGTGTCAGAACTGAACTGAATTGTAGGACCCCAGCTGGTACTGCAGAATTGTTTGTTGTATCAAAAACCCACACACACATCTAGAGTCAGAAATGTTGTGAGTGTAGTGTGAGAATAAAGAAGACATACAGGGAGTGTTTCCCAGACATATCCTATTTCATAAAAACATATGTAGGTCATAAAGTAGTAACTGGATTTTACATGATCTAATACACTTCCTTCCATTTAATACATTCAGAAAGAGAGGCTCAGAGAGGTGGAGTGACTTGCCCCAGGTAACATAGCCAAGACTCAGGCTTTTCAGGACACTGGCAGTTTTGTTTTGGAAGACCCTGGGCAAAAATTGAAAAATGTCCTTGGCATACTCCCAGCACTTCCCCAACTCCTACCTTCTAAAGCCTGTGGGCCAGAAACTGCTGGTGAAAAAACTGACAAAGTACATGTGTGGTTAGTTATATGCAATTGTCATTTTAAAGATACAGGATCTTTCTAAAATGCAAATGTGATTACTTCACCTCCTCTACTTGAATTCTCAGTGGCTCTTTCTGGTTTTCAGACCAAATACAAATTTGCAGCGTGGCAATCGATCTCCTCCAGACTGCTAGCCAATCTCACTAGTTCTGCTAGCCAACCTCACTCCTGACCATTTCCCCATGCATTTTCAAGGGCTTTCCTGCATTCTTGACCTAGCTAAATCCTAAGCTTGTCACGACTCCACTCACATTTCTCTTCTACGAATCTTCCCACGTGCTTGCTTTGCACACCTTTGCCACAGCACACAACCTTCTGTCCCTGAATCTTCTTGTCTGTCTTTTTCAGTGGACTAGGGGCATTCTTAGGAGCCAGGGTCATGTGTTTCTGCTTATCATCCCTGGCAGCTAGCCTAGAACTCAGTATATAAGAGGAACTCAATAGGTATCTGCTGGAGTGAGTATTTGTATATTCTTACTCTCACCTTTTAATCGTAAAAAAATAAAAACCCCAACACACTGGAATATCAGCTCTCTGAATTATGTAGGAGCTGGTTGTGACAATGCAGACCTCCATTTTCTCATATCTTCAAAGTATGAAGAAGAACTATACCTATCTTAGGAAAAATGGATGCAAAAACCCAGTTTTAGCGTCTTTTTTTTTTTCTCTTTATCTAATACATCTGTGTTAGGAGGATGGTTAGTTTTGTTTTTTAACTCCCAGTCTGTAAGCTAGTACTGAATGGTTAACACAGCTTCTGGCCCACCCAGTCGAATCCCTGGACTGACAGCCTTTCCCAGATCACTTACGAGGGGCAGGAAGCAACTCTTCTCTGCATGCCACCTCACAACATACCAAAAAAAAAAAAAAAGAAGAAGAAGAAGTGGGTAAGTTACTTATTATCCATCATTAAGGTGTGGGAAAGAAATCAGAGTGAAAGGGAGACAATTAAATGTTGATATGACTAAGTATAGTAAGTAACGAAGGGGCAGGTTGACCAGTGGTGGCTGTGGTAGTCAGAGATGGCTTTGTAAGAGTGCATTTTATAGAGTAGGTTGGGAATCGAGTAGAGAGATGGAGAAGAAAGCACTTCCAGGTGAGAACCAGCATGAACAACTGTCAGATTAGGATGTGGGGCCCATGTGTGTCGGGAGGAATCAAGCCTGAAATGAGCTCGGAGGGTATGCTGACGCTAAAAAGGAGCAAGGGGCCAATTATCCCTCATCCCTCTTCCTCCATGTGCCATTGTGCTGGTTATGAAGTGCATTCAGGTTGACTTTCCATTTTGGTCTCCTCCTTGTTCTTTTTAGGTGGGTGGGATGGGTATTAAGGGACCCTTTAAACATAGAAATGGTAAAAGACAAAGATGAAGACAATTAGCCCAAGTCACACAGCTGGCAGCTAACCAAACTCACAGTCTAATCTCTACACTTATATTTCACAGACCCGAGAATTGCAGTTGTTCTCACGGATCACACGGCTGAGGACCAAAGAGGTGAAGGAAGTTTTCCAATGCTACACAAAAGCAGAGTTTAGGATATTGGCTGGAAGCAGTTTTAACCAGCCTTATTTCTGCTTGAAGGGGTTTTGCATTATATTAACTGGAGAAGAAACCCAGAGGCAAAAGCCTTATATTGCAGAGTAAGAACTGTTACTTTGAGAAAACAAAATATTTTCTAATGTTTTATAACTGTTGGGATAACAGTCTGTTATATAGCTGCATTCTTAAAAATGGAAATTTTTATCAACCAAAAATTAAAATTTTTTGTTAAGTGGAAATATTCTGAAAAGGAAGAGAGTAGCCTGAGGAAAGGGATCTCTCTGGGGAGGGAGGTCTCTAGAATCTAGAAGAGCTTTTCAGAACTTTTTCTTGCTACTGATGAGTTTTAAGGTCTTCATCAATCAGATGGGGGAAAAATTAACTTAAAAACAACACCAACACCAACAAAAAACCTACACACTGTCCCTACAGTGACTGACTACTATCATCTCAGAATCTGTTAGCAAAGGATAACTATTATTTCCAGACAAGTACACCATCCAGACAACATATTATTATAATTTATTTAGTGTGTGTGTGTGTGTGTGTGTGTGTGTGTGTGGTTTTTTTTTTTACCCTAGGAATGACATGGTCTGAGAAATGACTTGCTGAGAGATCTGTGTTTACGTTAGGGAGAGTGGGGGTGGGGGTGGAAATCCCTGAAGAAGTTGAAAAGATGTTAAGTGGTAAATACCAAAATGCCCAGCAAGCATGTAAGCAGGCTCTCATCCCAGCATGAATATGTGCAGCTCAGCATTTTAAAATTTACTTTTAGCTTTTCTAGCAGTTTGAATTAACCCATTCTCTACTTCGGCTCCCTGTGTGAGAGATCAGCCCCGAACCTACAGACTAAAAGCACAAGCACAGTCTTCTGCAATTGGCCAGCAGATAATCCCCTCTCCCCGACCGACCGCTTGCTCTGAGCAGGCTGCCTTGCAGACACATCTCCTGAATATTCCTACCGACCAGGAGGTTCAGGGCAATGCCCAGTGTTAGGAAGTAAGTCCAGCTTGTTGGAGCTATACACAGAATTAGAAAAGGCCTGTTGGGAGACCCAAACAATACGAATAAATACCACACCAACGGTACATCCAGACCAGAGGTTCTCCAAAAGCAGGTGTGTCATAATCACTCCAGACAGGCTGTTCCAGGAGGTTGACTCCAGCATTTGCAGTCATAAAAGATTCTCAGGTGACCCTGAAGTATATCCTGCATCAATAGAGATGAATCTAGATTCTCTAAAGCGACAATTATATTTATGTCTTAGTTTCAGCCCATGGCAAGATAAAATGAAAAACAAAGCAAGCAACTCCAAACCAACAGTTCTTCTAGATGAGGGACACAGCCTGTCGGTTACTGCAGAATTTGCTTCCAGTGGAAAAATAAATCCATGTCAAAATCTTGGTGAGTTGAACTACTGCACGGTATTTGTCCTATTAAAACCAAGGCTGGCCAGGTACGCTTTTGGTGTTCTTCATGCTGCAATTTCTAGGTTCTCTAGCTCAATGGAAGAAAGTGAAGAACAAGAACAAAACAAAAGCTAAGAGAATAAAAGAAGGTTAACTGAACAGTAAAGACTTATTTCAAGAATAACAATTCTGAAATAAAATCATCCACTCCTGTAGTTGGGTGAGTGTTATTATAGCAAAGTCCAATGCTTCCTAAATGCTTGGGCACAGGTTGGTCAGGAACCTAAACAAACAGTTCAGATTCAGCCGTAATTATTAAAGATGAAAGAAGACTTAATATTTGATGGGGCCAGTAGTGACCCCAAGTGCAACAGAGACAACAGGATCTTTATAATAGCAAAACATTCAGCTCAGGCTTTCCTTTTTACCTTGTCAAGTGACACTTCATTCATCCTGAGAGGCGGTTCTGGCATAACTCAGAGGTAGATTTAGCCCAACAACTGGCCCTACAACGCTCAGCCATGATGTGATATAGTTGACACTCCTAGGAAACAAGTGAAAACACACGCAATTCTAATGTTGGATGAGTGGTGGAAAATCACCACCAACAGAAAAGACAAGCTGACTTCGAAGGTGTGTGCCCACCATGTGGAATCCCAGTCATTTCCAAATGTTAGCTCCATCACCTGTCAAGGACTTGAGATCCAAAGAGACTGAGGTAGTTAAAGGAGGAGTCAAGGCATTGAGGCTCCTGACTCCTCTTGGTGATTCCAATTTGACAGTTAAAATTTACCACATTTGCTAAGGTAGCAGAGGGAGTGGTTAAGAACATGGCTCTGAGGCGAAAATGCCTGGGCTCAAATCCCAGTTCTACCCCTTAACAAGCTGTGTGAACTTGGCCAAGTCATTTAACCTCTCTGTGCTTTAGCTTTCTCCTCTGTAAACTGGGTAAAATAATGGAACTTAGCTCAGGGGTATTATAAAAATCCAACATATTAATATATCTAAAATACTAGAATAGTGCCTAGCACACAGTGAAAATCAATAGCTGTTAGCCATTACTATTATTACAAAAAATATTTCTTTTTTAGCTTAGCTTTTAGAGTCACATAAAAAGATTTACACTTTTAAAATAAGAGTAAAAGCCAATGTATCTTGATGGTGTTTCTTACCTATTGATTTTTCGAGAATTCTCTAACACAGGAGTCATGAATTCATTCGTCTTACAGGGATGAAGTACAAAGAAGGGTTGTCCAAGCACTGGGTGCTCCTGTAGGAATCAGAGTTGGTCCGGGATAGCCGGTGTGAGTTACTTTGAAAAAGTTAAAACGCACAATCTGGTTTGTTAAAATAAACGTGTGTTTTAAATTCCAAGTTACTAAATTAAGATACAGATCAATTTCAGTTTTGAAATGTAATTCATAATCCAAACATGAGAAGAAGCTGGAGAGAAGGAGCTAGGAATTGATAAAGTAGTATAGTCAAGGACAGGAGGCCACACGGCTTTGTTTTACACAATACGAACTGTAGATCAATTTTATCCGTTCCCTTGAACTCTTTGTCAACTGGTGTTTCTCTTTGGCTTATAATTATTCTCCAGTTTTCCCTCAAGGATGTCTGCGAAGCCCAGAAGCCTGACCATTTGAACCATGCATTTCATTCGCCTCTTTGCAAGGGGACCAAAATCTTCCACTTTTTTTTTTTTTCCAGAAACTAGGCCAACATGTTGATTGTTTTGAGCCTGACTGTACTGCAACAGGCATACTTTCGATGGGTAAATTGGCAGGGGACGAGGCAGGAGAATGGCCTGCATTATTTAAATTGCTATACTTCTGTTTGTCTGTCTGTCTGTCTCTCTTCCTGAGTCCCTCTGTTTATGTTTCTATCCTTCTGTCTTTTCCAAGCTTATAGGGCAGTTTCTGGAAGTCAAAAGCCCATTCGATGGAATTCCACTGCCTTTGTAAGAGAACGACTAGATAGAAGTACAGGTCAGATGCAGCCAAGGTCGGGGAATGCACATCATTTGGCAAACAACGGGGAGCCCTAGGAGGTTTCCATGTAGCGAGTTACTTCGAACAAATTGTACTGACGCTAAAGCAACCATTGACAATAAATTTATTGGTTGTTTACATTGTAGATTCACCATTATGCCAAAGACTGCAACCACAAATACTACTATGGTCTAAATGTTTGCATTTCTCCAAATTCATATATTGAAATCCTAATGCCCAGGGTGACGGTCTTACAGGAGGTGGGGCTTTGGGAGGTGATTAGGTCAGGAGGGTAGAGCCCTCTGGAGTGAGATTTAGGACCTTATAAAAGAGACCCTCTAGGGGCACCTGGGTGGCTCAGTGAGTTAAGCCTCTGCCTTCGGCTCAGGTCATGATCCCAGGGTCCTGGGATCGAGCCCCACATCGGGCTCTCTGCTCAGCAGGGATCCTGCTTCCCTTCCTCTCTCTCTGCCTGCCTCTCTGCCTACTTGTGATATCTGTCTGTCAAATAAATAAATAAAATCTTTAAAAATAAATAAATAAAATAAAATAAAATAAAAGAGACTCTCTAAACGCTAGCTCACCCCTTTCTGCCACGTGAGGACACAACAAGAAGTGTGCGACCTGAAAGAAGGCCTTCATGAGAACAGACTGGCACCCTGAGCTCAGACTTCAGAATTGTGAGGAATACATTTCTGTTGTTTATAAACTACCCAGTCAATGGTATTTTGTTATAGCTGCCCAAGCAGTCTAAGACAAATACCTATAGAGACTGCACAGGTGACCTGAAGGAGCGAGGTCAGTTGACTACACCAGCTGGTGACAGGGACTGTGGGGGCCTGGAGGGTGCTCCCAGCCAAGACTAGGCTTGCTACTCTGCTCCAGCCAATTGTGCCATGTGGGAATGCAGGTTCTGTGTGCCAGGTCTTCCCGTTTGTCAAAATAGCCTAGGAATCCAGATTTTTATGTAAAGCCTCCTAAATTTAAATTTTGGCACTTAAAAAAAAAAAAAAACCAACATAGACTGGGCCAAATAAAACAAGCCTGTTGGCTGGATTTGGACTAGAGGCCTAACTTCTTCTCTTGGCTTCTTCTCCTCTTCTCAGCCAGTCCAAGGAGGAGCTGAACTCAGAGCATCCCTGGAAAGAATTACGTGTGGTTGTTGCTGCTAACTCTGGCCTTGAACTCCAAAACACTCACGTCTGTGTGCATGTGCACAAACCTACTCACAGGAAATTGGAGGCACCTCCACTGTATATTGGAGACACTGGGTGTGAAGGTTTGGGGGTGCATGAGGATTGAGGACTAGGTATGGGTCGGTGTAGGTCTCCCAAGTGCCACCACCTCCAGAGTCTGTCCAGTGGCCTGACTCTTACAGCAGAGCCTGGGCTCCCTCTTTTCTGCTCTTTCACTACCCCTCCCTCCCATCACTGAGCAGACCCTGAGGTCACACCCCAAATGTGTGATGCCTATAGCAAGTCCTTCTGTCCAGCTTGATTCTGGCTCCCCTTACCTGCCTTAAACTAGTATTTATTAATTCAACACACCTCTACTGATCATCTCTTACGTGTCTGCCAGGAACAGTTCTGGATATGGTGACAGAGATCACTGTATCTCAGAGATAAACGAAGTTCCTGATCCCATGGAACTTACATGCCAGTGCAAGAGACAGCCAATAAATACATAGAACAAATAAAGAAACAAGATAATCCAAATAATAGTAAGTGCCATGATCAAAATAAAAAGGGTCCCTTGATTTTGAGAGCACTTGGAACCCAAAATCTCCTTCTTGTTGTTAAATAAATCTTTTTAAGTATGTTGTTCATCATGACCACTCTTCTAGCAATGTGTCAAAAACATCCATAATCACTTCCATGGTTAAACTGTATATGGCCAACACCCAACACTTTCTCAAATGCAACAGCTTCTCTTAGTTATGGCAAATTAACCAAACCATTAATTGCTTTTCAAATACTGGTGGAAAATTAATTTTAAAAGTACCCCCAAATCCTTGTTTCTAAATATGTAAGACTACTGAATACCTTAAGACATAATCACCTTAGTGATTATGAATGTAATAATCATTATATAATGTAGAAAAATAGTTTCCCTGATGTGATTAGAATTCATATATTCCCTTATTCACTTAGCAAATATTGTCTTCTTGCCTAATAATTTTATAATGACTTAACCCTAACTCAAGGCAAAAGGATCCATAGTTTAAAAATGTGATTAATCTTAGAGATATCCTAATGCTGCAGAAGTGAGAGAATTCAAAGTTAGCCTTATGGCCTGAGCCAATACTCTGCTTTCAGTCACATTCAATCCGCTACTTCTGCAAGTCAGGCAATTTGTATTCGAGGCAAGGCAGAGAATTTACAAATAATTCAAGCCATCTGATCAGCGTAGACAATCAATCTGGATAATATTCTCCAAAAGCCATTTTTCTACAATGGAGATTGTTTAAGGCTCATGCTATCTGGAAAGATTATCCGTATTTTCTACTTTCTCCCTCAGACAGCCAGAATCAGAGACGAAAGCCGTCTTTCATTTGTAGTTTGGGAATTATGTGCAGGAGTTAAAAAAAAAAAAACTCTAAAATCCTACACCTTATTTGTTTAACATACCATTTTCAGAAATGGAAGAACATCAAAACTGTCAGGATCTTTTTAGTGACATTTCTTAGATCAATTCAGAAGGTAAATTTGTGTGAAAGTGCTACCATCTGCTGTCAGTACTAATGAACTGATGCAAATCTGCACCGAGAAAAATGTCAGCGTGGAAATACATGCAGCCAATGAACTGTGTTAGGCTTACAACTCAATAAACACTTCTACTGGAACAAAGTTCTGCGAAATGGTTTTCCGTGAAAATAGAAATGATGGGTCAGATTTCTATCTCTGGAGCTCCAGAGGAGTTATATAGGCACATTCTCCTATGAGATTTAATTTAGCAATGGTTAAATGTCTCATAAAATAAGTCTGACATGAATACTGTGAATTGGTTTCAGAACTATTAGATATGACTATCACAGGGAAATGATAATACTGCACCTTCATTCTTACATCTAATAAAGGGGATGAATTTCTTGGTTTGTTTCTTAATTTTCCTGGCTCTCCAGGAGGGCACAAACATAATTTCACATACTGAGCTTTCATCCAGTTTCATATTCCAGACTGATCAAATTTGCCTTCCACTCAGGGTACATTCCTTAGAAATGGAGAGGGAGATTTCCTAAGCCCGCTTCCTCTAGTAGGGAAAGGAACACAGCTATTGAACAGTTACAGAAGGAGACGCTGTACTAAATGCTTTGCATGGGGTCACCTATCCGAGTAATTCTTTGAGGAAGGCTTTCTTTTTGCCACTTTGGGGAATGGGTTCAAAGGGATTACGTTTAAAGTCACCCATGGAGTGAGAGGTGAAGCACTTTCAAAGTCCAGTCTTACATGGCACCCCTCCCCCCACTGATCGGAGGGGGGCAGCAAGGATGTTTAATCCTCTCTAGTCCACCTCCTCCAAAATCTATTTGTTTTTATTTTAAAATAATGTGCTTTCATAAAATTATAAGAGCAATACATTTTCTGAGAGAGCTCAGAAAATACAGAAAACAGCAGAGTAAAAGCAAGATAACCTAAAACTGCCCAACTCAGATTTAACCACTATCTGGTGAATTTCAAACTTTATCATGTGCCCACATGTAGTTTTCTATTGCTTTTTATTCATTGAACAGATAGATGTTTCTTGAGAGCCAACTACACGCCACTCCCTGCCGTACGTTTTTTTGTTGGTGTTTGTGAAATCTCTTTGTCTTCTGTTTTACAGATTTCTGTACTTATTTCTATTTTTTGCCCTACATATATTTTGTTTGGATTTATTTTGTTGTTCTTAATTTTTAAATGTTCCATGGGTGCTTAAGAATTACATATGAAGAATATGGAACCTTGAGTTGTTGCCTACAGTGCTCTCCATGTATTACTAGATCAAGCTGGGTTATTGTGTTATCCACGTTTTCTAGACTCCGATCCACTTGATCTATGAATTTTCAAGGAAGTTCAGATCTCCCCTGTAATAGCGGATCTGTCCACTTCTGCTTGTGGTTTGTCAATTTTTGCTTTATATATCCTGAAGCTGCTTTATTTAAATGCATATATTTTCCTAGGGAATGAAGCTTTAATACAAAGTGATCATACTTATCTCTGATTATGCGTTCTGCCCTCCAAAAAGAACTTTTGATAAAAATAGAGCCATACCAACTTTCCATTTACCTTATGCATTTAAA